TTTATTTTAAACTCTGTGTCCCCACACGGTTTAAAACGAAGAACTAGATTTCACCTCCTTCCTATAGGCCAAATTTAGACTGTTATACAAGAACACTGTCCATATCAGATGTTACATATCATTTGTGAGTTAGCCCCACATATTTATGAACGGCTATGCCTGATGTCCTTCGTGGTAAGCTATCTCATGAATTGATATAAGGTATCCAAGTGAGCAGACAGCAAAGGCAATTTGATTCATGAACAGTTCACACCTGATGGCCTCAGTTGCCCTTCGTGCCCGCTCCCGCTCCCATACCCTATAATTCTGTATTTCTTTGTGACTAACTTTTATACAGGAAGACCAGAGAAGCCACATCCCTGATTGGCAGATGAGTGGCAACCCTGATTAGAAGCACCTGCTGCTCATCGGTTGTTCTTTACAAATGCTGTTTTGAATTAAAACAAATTTTACCAACACATTGAAGAAGGCTGCAAAGCTGAAACGTCTGTGTACGCTATCCCTGATGCAGTGAAAATAAATAAGTAAGTAAGCTTTATGTGACACCTTTTTGAGTGCGGACCCATCACACCTTTTGTCAGTCTGGTTTCTAACAGTAACACTGACTAACAGTTTTACTAAGAAGGCCCAGAGGGAAGTATTGGGTAAAAGCCATTTTGACACTCTTCATGAGATTAGCTTTCCTCTGTTTATAGTCTTTCAGAGGGAATGTCTGAGTCTAATTCAATAGGGCTTCATAGTATCTGGACTGTTAGCTACACCACAGCACAGAGCAGGACAGGCCAGGTGGCCTTTACTGTGATGACTCAGAGTGGATCAGATGGGACACTGCCTGGCAAACCAGTGACATCAGTCTGCTGTGTGTCTGTGTATTACCTGACAAACCCAATGACATCACCCAGTGACATCATTGATGTAGTGATGATGCAGTCAGAGGGGAAATCTGGTGACTTCACAAGTGTGTGTGTGTGTGTGTGTGTGTGTGTGTGTGTGTGTGTGTGTGTGTGTGTGTGTGTGTGTGTGTGTGTGTGTGTGTGTACATGAGCGAGTGTGAGGGAACAGTATGTGTGTGAAAGTACAATCCAACATTGTATTGTAATAGTACCTTAAATTAAATTAAACTCCTTCAATGTCCTTTCAGCCTTCCTCCTGCAGTGTTAGGTTAATGAAAAGTGATTCTCCATCCAGACAACACTTCAGGATGTGACATTTACCTGCCAGAGAGAGTTACTGTTCCACTGTCCTGGAGACAAGACAACATGTCTTTACAATCACACACAGCCCAGAGACAGAGAGAGGGAAAGGGAGAGAGAGTGGGGGTGGGGGAGTGTATGGGTGGGTGTGGGCTGGGAGTGGGTGTGGGAAGGGGGTGGGAGGGTGTTGGGTGTGACTGTGTGTGTGTGTGGGTGGTGTGTGGGGGGTGTGTGAGCAGGCGTGTGGGTGTGTGTGTTAGGGTGTGTGGGAGTGTATGGGTGGTGTGGGGGTTTGGGTGGGTGTGTGGAAGTGTTGGTGGGTGGTGTGGGCTGTGTGTGGTGTGTGTGTTGGTGGGTGGGGGTGCTGGGGGGTGAGAGTGCGGTGTGTGGAGTGGGTGGTGGGTGTGGGGGAGTGTGTGTGGGTGGAGAGTGGGTGTGTGGCGAGTGTGTGTGTGTGGGAGTGTGGTGGGTGAGAGTTGAGTGGTGTGTGTGGGAGTGTGTGGGGTGAGAGTGTGTGTGGTGGTGGGGGGGAGTGGTGGTGGGGAGGGTGTGGGTGGTGTGTGTGTGGGGTGTGGGTGTGTGGTGGGATTGGTGTGGTGTGGGTGAGGGCGATGTGTGGGTGGGGTGTGTGGTGGGTGTGCTGGGAGTGTGGGGGGGGTGGGTGGGGGGGGGTGGAGTGTGTTGTGTGTGGGTTGAGAGTGTGGGTGTGTGTGTGGGGTGTGTGTGGGTGGAGGGCGAGTGTGTGTGTGTGGGGTGGTGGGCGTGTGGTTGGTGTGGGTGGGGTGTGGTTGTGGGGGTGTGCTGGAGGCGGTGTGTGTGTGTGGTGTGGGTTGGGGGAGTGTGTGTGGGTGAGAGTTTGTGGTGGGTAGGGGGGTGGGTGGGAGTGTGTGTGTGGGTGGGAGTGTGTGTGTTTTGGGGGGGGGTGGGGGAGTGTGGGTGGGGGGTGCGGGTGGGAGGTGTGTAATGTGTTGTGTGTTGGGTGGTGTGGTGTTTGTGTGGTTGTGTGGGGGTGTGTGTGGGGGGTGGGGGGGGGGTGTTGTGGGTGTGAGAGTGTGTGGGGTGGGAGTGTGGGTGGAGGTGTGTGTGGGTGGGCGTGTGGGGGGTGGGAGTGGTGTGGTGTGGGGAGTGTGTGTGTGTGTGGGTGTGGGAGTGTGTGTACTGTGTTGGTGGTGTTGTGTGTGTGTTGTGTGTGTGTGTGTGGTGTGTTTTTGGGTGTGTGTGTGTGTGTTGTGTGTGGTGTGTTGTGTGGTGTGTTGTGTGTGTGTGTGTGTGTGTGTGGTGTGTGTGTGTTTGTGTTGTGTGTGGGTGACGAGTGTGTGTACTGTGTATAATCAGCAGTACCTAACACACACTAACACCTCTTGGGCCAGTCTCTAATGCAGGACTGTTATTAACAGGCCTTTACACATCAACATTCAGCATCCTCCTCAGTGAGTACACTACTCTAACATCACCACACGTGTGTGTGTTACGTCTTTAACCTTAAGAGTGTTTTCCGTGGTTCTAACTCAGTATGACAGAGTAGAGCAGTCCAGTCCCACAATGCACTGTGATGTGACAGAACAGAGCAGTCAGGTCCTAGGAGCTGTCTGTCTGTCTGTCAGTCAGAGGCACAAAGCCCTTTATTCAGATGGGGTTAGAGGGCACTACTCATCCAGGAGAGAGGGCACTACTCATCCAGGAGAGAGGGCACTACTCATCCAGGAGAGAGGGCACTACTTTCTTCCTCCCAAATGGCACTCTATTCCCATATAGTGCACTACTTTTGACCAGAGCCCAATGGGACCTGATCAAAAGTAGTGCACTAAATAGGGAATAGGGTTCCATGTTAGACCATGTTCAGCTCCTGCTATCTAACCAGCCATGTTCAGCTCCTGCTATCTAACCAGCCATGTTCAGCTCCTGCTATCTAACCAGAGAAAGTGTTTGGAAGCAGTCGAGCCATGTTGAGCTCCTGCTATCAGTTGAGCCATGTTGAGCTCCTGCTATCAGTCGAGCCATGTTGATCTCCTGCTATCATTCGAGCCATGTTGATCTCCTGCTATCAGTCGAGCCATGTTGATCTCCTGCTATCAGTCGAGCCATGTTGATCTCCTGCTATCAGTCGAGCCATGTTGATCTCCTGCTATCAGTCGAGCCATGTTGAGCTCCTGCTATCAGTCGAGCCATGTTGATCTCCTGCTATCAGTCGAGCCATGTTGATCTCCTGCTATCAGTCGAGCCATGTTGAGCTCCTGCTATCAGTCGAGCCATGTTGATCTCCTGCTATCAGTCAAGCCATGTTGATCTCCTGCTATCAGTCGAGCCATGTTGATCTCCTGCTATCAGTCGAGCCATGTTGAGCTCCTGCTATCAGTTGAGCGTGACAACATAAAAATAAAATACCCACCGGCTTGCTGTCCAGTAACATATGTAGCAGTAGAGACATAATCATACAGGCACAACCTAGTACACACACACACACACACACACACACACACACACATGCAACAACCCTCATGGAAATGCATGGGGAAATCTAATAATATGTCTCAACTGTCTTTTCTGAGCCCACAGAGACCAAGGTAGATGATCTAACCAGTAGAATACACAATAAGGGTGTGATGTAGCTACAGAGAAGTGGAGGCTAAGATGGGCTGGGCAATTCCTCTATCCGCAATTCCTGTTTAGAGTACACCTTCCCTACCCCTGTCTTCCTGTTTAGAGTACACCTTCCCTACCCCTGTCTTCCTGTTTAGAGTACACCTTCCCTACCCCTGTCTTCCTGTTTAGAGTACACCCCCCCTACCCCTGTCTTCCTGTTTAGAGTACACCTTTCCTACCCCTGTCTTCCTGTTTAGAGTACACCCCCCCTACCCCTGTCTTCCTGTTTAGAGTACACCCCCCCTACCCCTGTCTTCCTGTTTAGAGTACACCTTCCCTACCCCTGTCTTCCTGTTTAGAGTACACCCCCCCTACCCCTGTCTTCCTGTTTAGAGTACACCTTCCCTACCCCTGTCTTCCTGTTTAGAGTACACCTTTCCTACCCCTGTCTTCCTGTTTAGAGTACACCCCCCCTACCCCTGTCTTCCTGTTTAGAGTACACCTTCCCTACCCCTGTCTTCCTGTTTAGAGTACACCTTCCCTACCCCTGTCTTCCTGTTTAGAGTACACCTTCCCTACCCCTGTCTTCCTGTTTAGAGTACACCTTCCCTACCCCTGTCTTCCTGTTTAGAGTACACCTTCCCTACCCCTGTCTTCCTGTTTAGAGTACACCTTCCCTACCCCTGTCTTCCTGTTTAGAGTACACCTTCCCTACCCCTGTCTTCCTGTTTAGAGTACACCTTCCCTACCCCTGTCTTCCTGTTTAGAGTACACCTTTCCTACCCCTGTCTTCCTGTTTAGAGTACACCTTTCCTACCCCTGTCTTCCTGTTTAGAGTACACCTCAAAACAAGCAGCCAACACAGCGGCCCGCTTACAGCTATCATGTTAAAAAGAGGAGGGGGTATCTGATTACCCAGTGATATCTGT